TCAAAATATCTTGGCCTGGTGAGACCAAGCCAGACATTGCTTTCACTCAACACACAATCTACCCTAGCCCAGGTGGGATTCAGGCTTGCAGTGCTGTGGTGATTTGCCTGTAGCATGCAGGTGATGTATCACCACACAGACAAATGCAAATCTAGGTTATAAAGCCATTTGCTGTTACAGCATGAAGCTTTAGAGCTTTGTAGTAATCTCAGAAACCCTGGAGAAAGTGTGATCCATATCGCTTAAAATTAAATCATCCCTTGTGATCTTAATAGGGAAAGTCCATCAGTTTTCTCTGGGCTTACCCAAGTAGCTCTTTAGAGACTTTCTGACTTGTTTGATTTGATTATGGTCTTTCCATGCTCCAGACTGCCAGCCCCTTATACAACAAACAGCTGAATGCACCTATACACTCTATGAAGGGACTTCTCTGCTCCCAGTACCTCTGCTACTGGTTATTCCAACCCAGTGAAGCCATATCTTGTGGTCCTATGGGCTAATGTTGACTCAGTCAATTCAGTAACGCAGTCAGTCCCTGTCTTACCCAGTCTTCTCACGAACTGTATAGTGAAAATAGGAAAATAACCAATCACCACTTCCCAAAGGCCAATAATGAATCATCACTTTACAGTTTGGATCTTTAAGTGGACAGTTACCCATGCTAGAGGTCCTTATCAACTACTGAGTCCAGGACATGGCTAGTAATAGAGTCCCCCAGAGGTTATGAGCTGTGGCACCTCTGTAGTCTATCAGAAAATCAACACTTTTCCTGGGAGGAGCCAATGCACCTGTAGGACATGGGCTAAAGTGGCTCAGACCTCTTCAGAAGCTTCTAGGCTCCCAGCAATGGAGAATCCTGAAGAGCAGACGTACTTCTTGAGAAGAGACTTACCACGGCCTGCTGGTGGGTGGGGGGCAATGTCTCTGACCTGTCGAACATGTTTGCCATCATTATCTGAATTAACAAGAAAGAGGAAACAGGAATGAGTGTTGAGAGTAGACGTCAAATGCCTGCTGGGATAGCATGATCTTCTACAAATTATATTTCCCTTTTTCTGTTGTCGCTCCCAATTCCAGAGAGGCTTTACAATTTCAGATATCTGCCAGTTGGTAGTTCGAGGGAATATATGTGGTGTTAGAATGGGGAAGATGCTTCTTTGGTAAGAAGGATGTGGGCACACAGTGTGGGGGAAGAGGGATTAGAGGGGGAAGAAATGTGAGAGCAGACACAGGAAAACTGGTGCAGGTAGGATTTGGGAGAAGGGCTCTGTTCAGTTGAGTCAGGAGGGGATTTCAAGGGTGTTGCTGGAAAAGAGGATGGTTTAGGGTGAATTAATGCAATTCTTTTGCAAGGACATCTTGTGTATATCCATTAATGGCTGTAAAACAGAGGAATGAATCACAGGCTTATGGAATCACAAAACCTACTTCTGTCCCTTCTCTGAAACAGACGCCTAACTCTGCAGCTGCTGGTCTCTGATATCTTCAAATATCTGCTCACTGCTTTCACTCTCGGTGCTTCCATATCCCTGCCCTTATAAAGCGTTTAACTGAAGCCTCTTGCACCGTGTATAAGCCCATTCCTTTTTTTTCCTATGCCTAGAGTACACTTCTTCCTGCAGACAGATTGTAGTGTTGCTGTCATTTCCTCCTCCATGGTCTTCTGATTTTGGGACTAAACCATTCAGTTCTTCAGCCATCCCTGACACATTCTGCCTGCTGGATTTTTGACTCCCTTCCTTTTGATTCTCTCCAAATGTGTCCTGAAGCCCACCATTGAAAGTGGTGGTTGGCCTGAGCCTGTGATGGGTGGGAACCACTCATGTAATGCGATCTGGAGGACTTTCCTGCTACAGTATTTACTTTTACTACAGCCTTATGTTGTTCACTCATATTCGTTTTTTAAGCCACAGTCTGCCCCTGCTTATTTCTGTCTTCACTTCCCATGCATTTGGAAGCACTCCTCCACAAGTTGACTTTCAAATGGTAGTCTGTCTTCTCTGGCCTGCCTCCCTGCTTACCCATCTTGCATTCATGCTGCTTACATTTTCAGAGCACCCTACCAGTGGTCTGGGTGTGAGATGAGTGTGAAGCCCAGAGCATGCCCCCTTTCTTTACCCAGACTTGCAGTTCTTGGTGAAGCCCAAGCTCTTGCCTCAGTCATGGGTGCACCCTGTTTTGGCATTTTCCTGACAGCTGACCTTACAGTGAAGGCTGATGCGAAACCAGCATCAAACACTTGAACTCTTCCTCCTCCCTTGGAAGGGAACCAGCTCTTTCTGTGGTATCATGTCCCACCCACAGCCTCCAGGTGGTGGTTTTTTTTTTTTTGTTTGTTTGTTTGTTTTTTTTTTTGTTTTTTGTTTTTTTTTTTTTCCCAGAAGCATTTCTTGGAGGCTTCCTCATTTCTGCAATATACCCTGATATTTGTAGGTTTCTTTGTGCCATCATCTGGCTGATTGCTCTGTGTCAGTGCCATTACTTTAGACTCTTTGTAGTAACTTCACTTAGTTCCTTTTGGTTTTCAATGCTCTTTTGAATTCAGTTGACCCTGTGATTTCCAGAGGTGACTACTATTCTCCATGTCCTCAAGACACACTGTGATTGTTTGCCTTAACAACTTTAATACTGCTTCTCCAAGGAAGAGCCCATGACACAGAACACCCTTGGTTGGTCTTGCTGCCAATGAGACTGAACCTGTCCCTTCTTCTGGGATCCTGTGAACTGTGGGCTTTGGACTGTTAGACTCACTTATGGGCAGAGGAACCTAATGCCAGATGGAAGAGACAAGCTGCAAGCAGAGGAGGACTCTGAGATGATTCTTGTTTCAGTAAGACAACCTACATTACATTAGCATTCCCCACACATAAAGGGGTATTTAGTCCTTCCTCCGAGTTTCAGGGGTGTGGTCAGGCTGGTGAGGAGGTCTATGTAGGATCTGACTGAATGTGACCTTGTTTGCCACTCCCTATTGTAGTGGTGCACTTACCAGTCTGTGAGGACTCTGGGGGAACATTCATAATTTCATCCAGTGTGCCATTGAGGAGATGCAAGTTTTTTATGTCAAAGGCAGGAAGAGATGCTGCTAGGCCCAGCAGGCAGGTGAAAAGCAGGAGACAAAGGTGCTGGGTAGCTGAAATGGGAAAGAGATTGGAAAAAAGATGAAAGAGATCATATCTCTTCCATTAGAGAGCCATGAATCCCATTTGACTCCTTTACTTGCAGAAGAAGGAAAATATAATTAGGAAATTAATAGGAAAATAAAATTCTTTACATGTAGAGCCCCCTCTTGGAGCCATGACCTCAAATTTACTCATTTAGATGAGTTGTCATATACTCATTGGCAGGAGTCATTAGTGGTGGCACCTGCTGTTGGTGGTTTTTGAGACCGAAGTGCGAAAACCTTGTCCAAACCCAAAGTGACTGTAATAAAAAATTCCCTGTAAAAAACAAGTCTCAGGGCTGGAGATAACAAGCAGAGTGAGCAGGGAGGGAGGAATCCCCTTTCCTCCCAGCTCCCATCATGCTCACACTCACATGGTGTATGCTGGGATGACATCTGCCTCCAGTCCAGATTTGTGGGCAGTAGGAACCCAGATTTCTGGGTGGGAACAAGCCCCGGGCAGGGTTGTGTGTATTTCTCTGCTCTGCATGAAAGCAGCATGACTGAGAGGCAGCACAAATTTTCAGTAATTACGGCCTGGCTCATGCAAATTATATTCTTTATACAGTTATGTGGCTACCTCAAAATTTGCGTATGTAGCCAGCTGCTCTGGTTTGTTCTTGTTCAGAGCAGCTAGGGAAACTAGCACACTTTTTGCAATATTAAATCTAAATAAAATAATAGAAAGTTTATCATGATTCCTAGAGAGTGGAGTACTGTGGAAACACCTGCCCATGGGGAAATCTGTTCATGATATACGTGTAGCTCACCCTGGCAGTTTACCAGTGTGATCCCTCCACTGTTTGAAAAGGAACAGAGCCAAACCTATTGTACTGCCCTGGGATACCTAGGTTTGGCACCATTCCCTGAGATGACTGAGAAGGAAAATGATCAGTGACGCTGGCTGGAACCACTGTGTGCCATTGCAGCCACCCTGGAGACAAGCACCCCTTTCTGGGAGTGCTCAGAGCCATCCCAGTCATTTGTGCTGGTTACAGTTTTACAGCAAAGGTGTTTTAAACACAATTCAGTCCAACTGATTTGCTTCTCAAGTCCTACATAACATTGAATGTCTTGATGCATTTGTGTTTAGAGGCAGGTTTAAAGACATCTCTTCTTTAGGCCACCAGAGAAGCAGTGCTCCCTCCACTGCTGGCCCATTCCCCCATGAATGGTCATGAAAGGTCTGGGTAGGAAGGAGATGCAGGGTATAGCAGTGTGCTTTTGAGCATCTAACCTCCAGAACTTGATACCTGTTCAATATTGCTCCTTAAGCAGAAATATCTAAAAATCCATTTTCTATTCTAGGGCACTTAACACTTGGAGTACTGAAAATTACAAAGAATGTTTGGTAAATATGAGGCTTGTAAAATGGGCTATCTGGCACTCCAGGGCTATACTGATACAGCCTGAAAACAGCAGAACATGCAGACTCCTGCTCCAGTTCCCAGCTTAGGGCACAGCAAGCCCAGGCAACATGATGGACTTAGCACTGGGATGGCTGGGGTGTGGGGAGAAGGGAGCCCTGCAGAACACAAAGTACTGGGATCCCCTGGAACCTGCAGACACATGCAGTGGTGCCGTCCCATCCCATCCCATCCCGTCCCATCCCATCCCATCCCATCCCGTCCCACACTCACCCATGCTGTCTCTGCAGGGACCCTGCAGAGTGGGAAGCCGAGCGGGTTTGGCCTGGCTGAAGGGGTGTCCAGCCTGGAAGTTATAGTGCTCAGCAGGTGAGGGGGTGGGGGCACAAGACCCAAACCGCAGCACTTGTCCTCTGGTTGGCAACAGGATTAGTGGATTATGATTTATTTGCTCTTCATCACTAAGCGATATGTTCTCAGACAATGAAGGCTGTGTCTCACAAAGGTGAAGAGCTTTCTTCAGAGGCAAAGCAAATAATTTGGTGCCAATAAGTGAACGCCTTAAAACAACCGTGATTTACAGTGCCTGACTGCCCTCCTGCCCTGGCAGGATTTCCCCAGGGAATGGCATCCTCCTGGCTTCTCTGCACATTTCAACTTATAAGTAAATACCCAGATGACATTCCCCCTCCTGGATGGAAATCAAACATTAGGCGTAAATCACTCTCTCCAGAGCAGGCATCGAGCGCAACAGCCACCGGGGACCCCGGTGGAAAGACCCTTCAGGAAAGAGGTACTCTAGTGTTCTGGGCAAATTGTGCACCAAACTTCAGTAAGTGCCACTCCAGGTGCCTCCTGACGTCCCTAGCCTGCCACCACCGTGCTGCCTCTTGCGCAATGTGCACTGTGGTCCCCCCTGGCACTGTGGCCCTCGCAGCAGCTGCAAGGGAGTTTTGGGAATCATGACATGACACTGATGTAAAATGGTCTCACTTCAAGCCCCTCTCTGCTACTAGGAGTGCTTACACCATGGATTTCTTGCAGAAAATGCCAGACCATCCTTTTCCTATCTGCAGTATTCTGAGTTATGAGGACTCCTGTATCTGAGCATCCACCTTGTGTTGGACAGCACAAGTTGGCCAGAGCTTGCAGAGGAGCAGGCTGGGCTTTTGTCACATGCTGTTTGCTTCCAGCATGGCTGCCTGGCCATGGAGGCTCCTGTGCATGCCCTACTGTGCTGCTGCTTCTGCTCAACAGCAGATACAAGCAAAGGCAGGCAGCAGCTCTCAGCAGAGCTTCACCAACAGTTTCCAGTCCCTGGCCAGCTTTTCTAGGAGGCTGTGGCTGGTGTTTGGGTTAGCATGTCCAAAGCAGGCAGGGGGAAGGCCATAGAGGTGATTTCTCTGAAAACCCATTTGTGTCCTGGGGCCTGGCTCCTGCTCAGTATATGGCGACCAATGATAGGACCAGGGGAAATGTCAGGAAGATGTGCCAGGACAAGTTCAGGTTGGATATTAGGAAAAGGTTCTTGAGGCAGAGGGTGGTGGAGCACTGGAACGGGTTCCCGTAGGGAGGTGCTCATGGCACCAAGCCTGACAAGATTCCAGCAGCATTTGGCCAAGACCCTCAGGGACATGGTGTGAACGTTAGGATTGTCCTGTGAAGGGACAGGAGTTGGACTGGATGATCCTTGTGGGTCCCTTCCAACTCAGAACATTCTATGATATGTTTGATATTGAAAGAGCCACAGTTGCAGCACAACTCTGTTATTGCTGCATCCAGGGCTGCATCTGAAAAATTGCAGTCAGGAGGGTGAAGGAAGGGATTATTCACTTCCATGTGTGAGACAACAGCTGGAGTGCTGTGTCCTGTGTGGGGCTCCCCCATTCACAACAGCGACTAAAACTCCAGAAGGAGTCCAGCTAAGACCACTAAGACAGAGGTGACAAGAGGCAGGAGCACATGCCATATGTAAACAGGCCGAGAAAGATGCGCTTCTTCAGCCTGGAGAAGGGAAGGCTGAGATGGGATCTTGTTGCTACCTACAGCTACCTGGTGGGGGGGTGGAGAGCAGACTGAGTTAGGCTCCTCAGAGCACTGTGTCTCATTTTGGACCTCTCATTACAAGAAACATATGGACAGAGTGGAGCAAGTCCAGTAGAGGCCACCAGACTGGTTGGGGGCCTGGATCTCAGGACGTGTCAGGAGATTCTGAGACAACTGGTCTTGAGCAAGCAATGGGGAGGTCTTGTTGCTGACTACAGCTACCTCATGGGAGGATACAGAGAACGTGGAGCCAGACTGTTCAAGGAGGTGAATGGTGGTGGGATGAGAAGCAATGGTTCTAAGTTGGAACATGGAAATTCCAGTTAGAAATAGAGACTTTTTTTAACATGAGGTTGGTCAAATACTGGAAGAGGTGCCCAGAGAGAGGATGTGGGATTTCTGTTCTTAGAGATGTTTAAGACTTGACTGAACAAGGACCTGATTTTTTTAGATCTGCCTTGAGCAGGAGTTGGACTCCAGATGTCCCTTCCAACCTTCAGTATTCTATCACTCTGTTTCTATGACTCTCCTTGGAGGTGCACAGGGATAGGATGAGAGTCAATAGACATAAGGGAAGGGAGGGAAATTACAATTAGATAAAAAAATCGTCTTGAGTGTGTTCAAAGAACAAACAAACAAACAAAAACCAACCAACCAACCAACCAAACAAAAAAAGCCAAAAAAAAAAAAAGGAAGTTGTGGGACCTCCATTCCTTAACTGACCCAGGCGTGACCCTAAGCAATCCATTCTAATTTGTCCCTGCTTTGGCCTGGAGATCAGACCAGAGACATTCAGAGGTCCTCCTGGTCTTGGTTACCCTGTGTTTCTCCAGTTCTCTGAAAAGCCCCCTCCACAGCCCTTATGCCTCAGTATTTCTGCAGGAGCACAGCCATGGCACCAGACCTTGTACAAGATGCAGAGCTGTCTGTAGCAGAACATGCCTTGAGAAGGCACTTTGTAAGCCCTTTAACTATAGCAAAAGCCTGAGGACCTATGGAGCATGAGAGACCTGTACAGTCAGCCAAGCTGGTGCGATTTGCCCTTTCAGGATTACCTGCTAGTGTCATGGCCCTGAGTGCACCAGTAGGCCTTAATGGCTGATGACCAGTCCCACCTGGGACCTTCACCTCAGCCCCGGGCCTTCAGACCCAAACTGTGCCACACTCTATGAGAACTGGTTTCCAGTTCCATCTCTGGCCTTGTTTTTTGAATGGATCATAGACCTACGCTGTAGATAGTTTATTTCCTGAATGGACCACTCAGATTCATGTTCTAGTTTATCTCCATCCTTGTCTTTTGCACTGTGTCCTTTAGTCCAAGATCTTGGACCTGATTGACTGCTTGCCTTGCCTGGAGCTGTTGCCAACACTCAGCTCTGCCTGCTGCGCTCAGCCCGGGCTGGATGGAGCCCCGCCAGCAAGGGCATTGCCTCCTCGGGGTTCACCCTTGGCTTCTGACTTGCCTGGCCTGACTGTGGGAAGCAGCCAGCCTTTGCTGCTCCCAGAGGGCTGGCTCAGGCCTTCATTCTCCTCCCTTGAGTCCTGCCCTGTGCCCCCTGCTCTGCCTCTCTCTGTTTCCAACCTATATCTGCTCAGAGGTCCCCTTGCAGCTGTCAGAACAAGGTCCCACATCAGTGTGATTTAGAAAACCTTTGTTTGACACCTTAGAAGACAATATCCACTGCAATATTTGACCTAAAGTCAAAACTGGGGTCTCTTCTGGACTGTAGATAAGCTGTCCACTGTTTCTTTGAAGGAAATACAATTTGCAGCTATTCGGAGCAGACCAGTGGAGCTTGCTGCATGCAGGGGCAGGGAAATGCTTCCTCTCCATGACCTGTGGAACCCATGTTCCTGCTGCATCTGGCAGCCCTCTTGCCAGCAGTGATCCCAGTGGTGTCTCACCATCAGCAGCCTGCCTGCCAGCCCTGGGACAGGCACCCCACCACACCCCAAGGTGTTACATTGCTCAGTGCTGGCATTAGCTCCAGTGGCAGCGCATGGGAGTCCCTAACTCACCCGCACAGAAAGGGGACATGGCCTGTCTGCCTGCAGTCCTTCTTCCCAGGGCACCTTGGGCCCTCCTCCCTCTGTAGACTTGGGAGTGCTGCTTTTATGGTTCTCCAGAACTAGAAAAGGCTGCAGACAAGGGCTCCCAGCCTCTAAATGATCAAGCAGGGGTGAGATCTAAGGGTGCACATGGAATTTGATCTAGGGATCCCTTAACTTGGAGAGGTCTGGATGCTGCTGTCCATCCAGACCTGCAAATTGCACTGCTTGATGCAGGCTCCTGCAGCACAGAAAGTTTGCTGGGAGCCTCAGCTTGGCACTGGCTTGCTGTGAACAGCAGGTTTAAAGCTGTGCCATGAAGAAGACATCTGGTCAGTAGGCTACTGAAACCAACAGAGGAGAAGAAAATAGAAGGGTCCCATCGTAATCCTCTTAGAATTGTCTTGTCAAAGTGATGGAGCTGTTTGCACCTTCTGGAATGAAGAACAGCCCTCCAAAATGATGTGTCCTGAGAGCATCAGGTCATCACTGCTGAGGCTGGGGGGTATCTGCAAGGTCTCACCAGGCCAAAGACAGGGATTGGGAAGGAGAGTGGCAAAGGGACCCACTGGCACCTGTTTGTTACCCGGAGCCCTTGCTGTCTACTCAGAGCATGCAGATTGAGGTGCCAGGGAACCCTGTATACAGCGACTTCTGGCTGCTGGGCGCTGGTTCCAGCCTGATTACTTAACTCATTGATCCTGAAACCTGCCAGAGAGAGTTAGCAAGCACACGTCTCTTGAGGACCTGCCCTCATCTTTCCCAGGACACCTTTGGAACTGGGCAAATAGGAGACCTAGTCTCTCCTTCTTTACTAGCTTCTGTGTGTATGTCCTTAAAGAGCTGGGTCTCTCCACTTCAGTTTGATTGTGGCTCTCCAGAATTTGCTCCAAGTGAGGAATTCACATGTAGTGTTTGTGTGAGCTGGGAGAGTCAATAATTGAAATCCCTCAGCATGGAGGGGATTATTTTGTACTTCTCTGGCTGGAAGGGCATGCCTCCCTCCCCTCAGGGGATTTACTTGTGCTGTCATGGGATCTGAAAACCGCTCAAGTCACAATCTGCAAGTGCCTCCTTGTGCCTTTACAAATAACCAGTGTGAACACAAGTGGGTGTGTGCAGTGCCTATAAAGTCATGGTGTAAAGCTCGACATGGGATGGTGCACCACTGGGTTCCCGCTCTCTGCTCAGCTGTGCTGTTGTGATGGGTGAGTTATCTTCCCAGCGGCACACTGCATTTGTGTGCAGTGCTGGGCTCAAACGAGACCTGACTGGGGTAAGTATACAAAGGCACAAGATGATTAGCGGGACAGCAGCCGTGATCTTGCCTGGGTGTATCATGCTGCCAGGCATCCTGATAGCAGAAGGAACGCAAGACCAAAGCACCAAACAACATATGCTTGGTGCCAGCCTACACATTCCCCAGGCTACCTATTCCCTGTATTCCCATGTCCTGTCAAGGGAGGTTAATGTGGAGGCTTAGATTTAAACTTGGTCCTTTCCTTTCCTGACCGATGCATATGGCACATGTGGTTGCACAGGGGATCCTCCCCAGGCATGATGGCATCTCCCCCAGTTACTGAGCTAGTGCAGGGTGCAGGCTATGCTGGTGGCCAGCACAGAGGGCTTGGGCTTATGTCATTGTGTGGGCCCAGGAGACTTCCTCCTGTCTGCTTGGGAGCTGGTATCTCTGCAATAGGACCCATCCTTTGGATCTGGTTTCCCACTAGCTGTCATTGGGCTGGAGTGGTTTATATAAAAGGCTTAAGCACGATTACTCTGAAAAGAACTGTTTCTTGTGATCCCTCCCCCTGGCAAACTACTCTCCCCAGATCTATCTGTGTCATTGTCCTCTCATAGCTACCCTTGGGCTGTAGGTTCCAAGAACAGATCTGCACATTGCTGGCTGGTGCAGGGAAGAGGCTGATCAGGAGGGTGACAAAGCCATTTCTCACCTACACTGCACCGAAGCTGCAGCTCCCACCACCCCGGGAGCCCCCTGCTCCCCATGGCTCTGCCTTCCCTGCCCCGAGCTCCCCAGGGGCCCTTGGCAGGGGTAGAGGGATCCTAATGGTGCTGGCCCCTTTCCTCCCCAGGGCTCCAGGCTGGGACAAGTTGGCTTCGTGGGGACCTTGTCCTCCTACCTACGGTGGTGGCGATGCTTCTCCTCTGTGCAAGTGCTGGTCCAGCAGCACCCACTGCCAGCTCCCGGAGTGGTGAGTATGGAGTGGGTGGGGGGCACTGGCTGGGCACCAAGACACAGAGCAGGAAAGTGTATCCCTAGCTCAGCACTGAGTCTCAGGTCCACTAAGTGCTAAGAAAACCAGCATGCACCCAGGCTGGTACACAAAACAAGAACTCCTCACGCACACAAACCCCTGGGCCATGGCTTATAAGGTAAGCAGGCTGCTGCCTGTCAAGCCATTCTCACCCCCTTGGTGGCTCCATGCAGAAATGAAGGGGTTTCTGCCTAAACATCATAACTTGGCAAGATTGCTGTGCAGTGCTTGTGTCGTTTTACACTTCAGTTCTAGGAGAAATCCTCGCAGCAATTTGTTTGTTTGTTTTTACCTCTTGTTGGATTAGGGAGGGGGACACTCCCTGCAAGACCTGTGTGCTTGAGAAAAGCAGAATTTCATGGGCTGAATCAGAATTACCCACAGCAAATTGTCCCTCATCAAACACAAAACAAGAAAAACAAATTAGGCAGCAAATGAGTTTGGCAAGTAAGTAATGACAGATCAGTCCTGCTAACAGACAAACTGCAACAAGATGGGGGAAGAGATCCCTGTGAGATCAAGGTAGAAGTTAGTCTTCTTTTGCAATGCCATGACCCCTAGGGAAAACATAATTTTTCACTACATATCCTCACCCACTGGAGCATTTTGGACACTTCTTATCCTTGCAGGAACAGCAGCTCAATATATCAACGGCTTTGTGTGAGGGCCAGATATACTTGGAGGACATCACTGGCATCTGGAGGATTTTTTTCCCCCTCATTTCTTGGCCAGATGCATTAAAAGGCTCCAAATGAAATAGAAAGTAATGAGAAATACATTCTAGGGCTCTTACCAGGGCCTCTGTCTTAGAAATCTTTGGTTGCCCCCGTGGATGAGCCAGTGGAAAAGCCACTCTGCGCTGTGGAGTAGACCTCAGATAAAACCAGCCTTTTTTGTCCTGAGTCCTCACTCCCCTACTGGAACTCCTGGTTGCCCTGACAGACTCATATGACCCTTCTCTCTCCCACCCCACCCTGTGTTTGCTGCTGCTCTTGCAGGGTTCCCCGCAGACTGCAGCCATCTCCGCAAGGCCAGCCCCAGCGGGGTGTACGTCATCCAGCCGGCGGGGTCACCTCCACGCGTGGTGTGGTGTGACATGGACACCGAAGGCAAAGGCTGGACTGTTGTCCAGAGAAACTCTCATGACACTGAGCTCACATGGAAGCAATCCTGGACCACATACAAGTATGGCTTTGGAAACGTGCAGGGCGATCACTGGCTGGGCACTGAGTACCTGCACCTGCTGACACAGCAGGGCACATACAAGGTCCGCTTCATCGTGCGGAATAAAGCCAATGTCACCCATTACGCCGAGTATGACATCTTCAGGGTGGAGAGTGAGGCTAGCGGGTACCCGCTAAGGCTGGGACGATATTCTGGTGATGGGGATGACTATCTGACCAGCTATCACCCCAAGAAGGGGGGCATACATGACAACATGAAGTTCAGCACGACTGACAAGGACCAGGACCAATACAGAGGGAACTGCGCCAACAGCTACGGGGGCTGGTGGTACGACAAGTGCCAGAACATCCTGCTCAATGCCAAAAAACACATCCTTTGGCCAGGATTTTGTGATAATGGTGATTGTGCATCCTCCCTTATCCTGGTCAAACCCACAGATGTGTGCTGACCATGCCGCAGTGCCCAGCCTCCCGGGAGTTTGTGGGAGTGCTACCGTCCCCAGCTCAGTGCCCCATTCCCGTGCCTGCTAACAGCCCTGTGCCAGCCCCGGTGCACATCCTGTGCTGCTGCAGCTCCTGTGCTGTCACCAGCTGAAACACAGTGGCTCTGGGGCTCAGGAGCATGCAGGCAGCTTCACCCAGCGCCACAGTGCTGGCCAGCACTGGGATGCAGGCACTGGTTTGGGGTGGGTGCATCCACCCCAGTCCTGGGGAGGGGGAGACAGTGCAAGTTCCCTTCCCTGTGCAATCCGTGTGTCCCTGCTTTGCTTAGGCCCTGCTTCCTCCCCGGGTCCTACACGCCCCACAGCTCTGCTACCCCTGATGGAAGAAATCAGCTGCAATAAACCCTGGAGCCAAACTTTGCTGCCTTGTGTCTACCTGCTGCCGTGACACTGCACATGAGTGGGGGGAATCACTCTGTCGAGTTCCCTGGGGGAACGTAAGTGTATTATGCAGGTCCTTTCCTGGGCAAGGAGACACATCTCCCATCTCCCTGAAACACGCAGGTCTTACCTCTCCCAGGGCTGATGTGCTGGCTGCTGGTTTCAAAATGATTTGCTCAGGCAGTGCTGGACCAGGTCAGCTATGGAGCTGCTTCTACTCCTAGGCTGGGCTAGTGCAGAGCTGGTGTGGCATGCAGGGGTTTTTTGATGATTTTTCTTTTTTCTTTTTCTAAAATATTTCAATATTCCAAAGTGAAACACCTGCCACAGATTCTCCAGGCTGCTGGCTGACCCCTGCATCAGCCTGTAACATGAGCTTTTCTCCCTTTGGTGCAGTTGTTGTACACAGCTGAGTATAGCTGTTGTACCTAATTCTGTCTGTGGTTTGGTTCTCAGGTCTCTGGACGCAATATTGCTTCCAATGGGTTGTTGCAGCCACTGTGCACTGAACTGTGGCTGTAAGGCTATGATTAGCCAGCAGGGCAAGCAAATCGCAGTGTCTTGCAAAACCTTCACCCACAGTTTGCCTGTGGTCCATGGCTGGGTAGTTGCTCTGTGACAGGAAAGGGAAGAAACCACCACATATTGGAGTGTGGAGAGAGTGCTGCACTCCCCGTGGGTGAGAGATGTGGGTAAGTCAGTCCCATCATACTCTGCTGCAGAGGGGCAATGTGGCTATCTCCTTTGCATTGGAGGGAAGTTTAAACTTGGAAGAAACATGATTCCCACCTTCTGTCTTTGGAAGAAAAGCTGAGCTTGAGGAAGCCTTGTGACTGTGAATCCTGAACAACTTGGGACTCTCAGGTCAAGATCTGTGACTGAAGTCCCAGGGCACCTGCAGAGCTATAGCAGTACTGTGTTCCTGAAGAGGTTGTGTACGCAGCCTTGGCTGCCCAGGAGGCATCTGTGGGGCTGTAGACCTGATGCATGGGGAGATGAATGCTGTTTGAGAAAGGCTTCCCAGTTTGACCTGACTTGGGAGTAGCATTTCTGAACTGAGAGATATATCTACTGGTTTAAAGAGTCTACTGCACTCCAGCCTGGATGTACAGCCTAACTGGAGGGAAGAGACTTGACAGAAAAGGACTTGGGGTTACTGGTAAACAGTAATTTGTCCAGGAGTGAGCAACGCACCCCTGCAGTGTTGAAGGTGAACTGCATCCTGGGCTGTATTAGCAACAGTGCAGCCAGCAAGACGTCACTCCCCTCTGCTCAGCACTGGGAGACTGCATCACAGATACCACATCCACTGTTGAGCTATGCAGTGCACAGAGACACCATCACAGTGGAGCAAACTTATATGGACCCAAGCTGATCCAGGCCTCTTGAAATTCTGGGATCCCTGCTATGTCAGGCTGCCTCAGCTCATAAACCTGCCCCAGATATCCCAACCATGCAGTGCTGCGTGGCTTTGCAGTGCTATTGTCCTTTCTTCCCTGTCCACTCTTCCAGTTATCTCCCAAGGCCAGGACCAGCATTCAAAATGTTAATAAGGCAGGATGATGCTGGCCTGGCCTTCTGTCTCTGGTTAGCTCCAGATCATGGCTGGTAGGGCTGAACTGAGATGATGCTCCCCTGCTCTTGGCCATGTGGTACTGCATTCCGTTTTTGAAAGATCCTCACCAGGAAACAGAACTTTTCTTTAATTGAAACTTTTGTCTTTAGTCTTTAGTTTTGAGTCTCATGAAAAATTTTCCCTTTGAAAGTCATTTCTTACTGCACCAGTAGCCTCAGGTCTGCTCCTGGCAACAAACTGTCAGCAGTTGCAAGAAGTTCCCAAACAAATGAAGGACATTTGCACATGTCTGTGCAGGTTCTGAAAGCAATTTTATTCTGCAGGATGAACACAGACTACAGCAGGGATATTGTGCATACATGACCTGCCTGGGCTCAGAGCAGCTTAGATCAGGTTAGCTAGTGTAGTTAGTGATGACTGGTATTTTTCTACTGAAGTCATCTATACCTGCAAACCAGAAAGAGAGTAAGACCTTGCTGGATGAGGAGGGGTTTAGGTTTATGAGCATGGTTTCCTCCCCAGAGGAAATACGCTTGGAAACCATAGTGTTTATAAAGATTTGTTCTAATAACGGTCCCTAAAAACCCAGCACAGGTGAAAGACCAGATACAAAGCAAGGAGCTTTGCTACTTTTCAAGAGAAGAGGAAAAGAAAACAGCTCTTGATATACAGGAACAACCTCATTCACCCTCAGCCCCCCAGCCAGCGAAATGGGCCCCAGTAGGGCACTGGTCTGGCCATGTGCCCAGTGCAGACAGGAGGGGGAGAGAGTACTAATGGTGCGGAGCTGGTTTGATGAGGATGGCAGAAGCTTTGCAGTTCCCGTTGCACAGGCTGCCCCACGTTATACCCCCCTTGACATTCAGCCGTACAGAATAACACGCCGAGTACCACCACCCGCCCCCGTAGCTGGAGGCACAGTTCCCGCCATAAGTGTCCTGATCCCGATCCTTTGTGGAGAACTTCATGTTGTTGTGCACTTTCCTGGGATTGTCTGAGTCCATGGCATCCTCCGCTGTCCCCGAGTATGCCCCCAGCCTCAGCCGGTAGCCCTGGGACTCATCTTCCAGGCTGAAGAAGCTGTAATCTGCAAACTTGGTGTTGTCTGCAGCATCCCAGATGACAAACCTGACCTGGTAGACCTTCTGCTTGGAGATCTGATGGATGTACTCAGTGCCCAGCCAGTAGTCAGTGTGCATGTTCCCAAAGCCGTACTTGTAGGTGCTCCAGGACTCAGCCCAGGTGATCTCCGTGTTCTGCCGGTTCCTCTGGATGACTGTCCAGCCCCCGTCTGTCACATTCATTTCACAGTACACCATGACGGGGTGCAGTCCTGTGGGGTGGATGATGTAGACGCCACTGAGGCTGCCACCGGGGATCTCACTGCAGTCCTTGGGCCAACCTGGGGCAGGAGAGAGGGTGATTTAGCAAAAGTCGGTGCAACAGGACAAGACAATGTTTCAACCTGCGGCAGGATAGAAGGACATCTGGCCAGAGTACCTGGGGGATAATCAGCTGTCCCAGCCCAGACAGGTCAATGTGCTTGGCTGGAGGTGAGAGTAGGCTGGCCTCAGGCCGCTGTTCCTCTTCCATATGGGGCATCTAACAGGAGGCAGCCCCAGTGAAAGGGCACAGACTAACTTGGCTATGCCGGGAGACTGATATGGACACTAGTGGACTCCTTTGGGTCTCCTGAAAAAGGAGCTGTGTCACTAAAACAGGGTCACACTGGGGAGGAAGGTGAGAAGGACCTTGCCCCTGCCTGTGACTGAGGGAACAGGAGAATCGGGCACACAAACACCCTTACCAATCTGCACAGTGCACCCACATGCACACATATGCAGAAAGCATTGCAGCCTGCATTGGGTACACCTCCTCACACCCACCACCCTCCATCCTGGAGCAGGGCCAGGGCTAGGGATGGTGTAGGGCCCTTCCCCACCTGGAGCTGGCCATACATGAGCACACAACACTGGATCCCCCCTGTGCCAGCAGATGTGGTCTCCCCATGCCTTCAGCATGCTTGTTGCAGGACCTCCCACTGCAGTTAAGGTCATTCTGCTGAATGGGGAGAGCTCCTCTCCCTAGCTGAGCAAAGCCTGGGGTTGATGCCTCCTCTCCCCAGCCCACCTGCCTATATACACTATAGAGGTGTTTTTTAGATTGGAGGCATGATAGCATATTCTCTCCCAACTGTCATTTTACCAAGCCTCCACTGTCCCTGTTCAACAGCCAAGGCTGATCCAGACCGAGGAACTGAAAAGAGTTGTTGAGAGCACTGCGATGCCCAAGGGATGCTACATACTGGTTTTCTTCAGAGCACTTGCCAAAGCATTGGAGGGAGACTTCTTGAAGATGTTTGGGGTTTGTATATGCATGGAGTGGCCTGGAGCAGACAAGACCAGCACGCAAGCAAGCAGTCGAAGGCACTGGGCTGCTAGAAAGGGAAAAGATGGAGAAAAGATGAAATGTGATCCTCCCTCCAGAGAGGCAGGAATTCCAGCACTGCACATGTAACAGCACTGCACACTGTAACATGACCATGGGAGATGCAGGCGTGCATCATGCATTCTGGGCAGCATCAGACTGGTCTGTGCAAGCTGGAAAGCTTGCCAAAAGGCCTCATTTCTTTTGCCCAAGGGGTAGACAACTTAGCCTTTTCCCCTTGACCAGCTCCTGAAAAGTCATGCATGAGATAGTTCTGGGTGAAGCAAAGCACCCAGCAACCAGCTGATCCAAGTTTCATTCTGGCCCCTGAAGCAGGGGACTGGCTGGGGTGAACCAGAAGGCAGGGCACAAGCTGCTGGTGTTTGAAGGGGTGGTGGGTGAGCAGGCCCTCAGAGGGCACTGATGACAGTGCTCCCCATCGGTGTGCGAGGACCAGTGCAGGGAGCCTCTTCCTCTTACTGGGCTACCCTACCTGTGCTCCTCCTATTGCTAGGAAGGAGCACCCCTGCGTCCCAGCCCCATACTCACCCATGGCATCCCGCAGGAATGTCCTCTGGAGTGCAAAGCTTCAGAGCAGCAGCTCTGACAGAAGCATTTGTAGTGCCTTCTGCAGTGGGCGGGGTGAGTGGGTCCTACCACCCCTCCCAGCTTCCTTTCTCCTGGGGGAGGATATCAGGTGGGGTTTCCTTTCTGCCTTTAGAAAACACAAGCTGAGACGAAGGTGCCTGTCATTCTAGGTGCATAGCTTCCTGAGCTGCAAAAAAAAATAACCCCCGTGCCAGTAAGAGTCCTTGGAATGGTCTCTTCTGTGAGTGCTTAGCTCCTTGGATGGAATTTCCCCTAGGAACAGCATATTTGGGAGCTTTGACGAGGGCAGCTCGGTAAATAAACACTTGAATGCCAGTTGCCAAACAGTGTGGAGAGCAAACACTGGGTATATCCCCACCTCCCACCGGAGGTTCAGTAAACAAATACCGTCTATTACACCACCATTACAGCAGGGTACTACCAGGTCAATTGGTTCTTGTTTAAAGTGCTTTTGACAACCCAGCCTGGCTTCTGGTGGGGAAGTTAGAGTAGCCCTGAGGCTCCCAGAGAGACTGACTGTTGTGGGACAGTATTTAGAGCAACTGATGTTTTCTGGACTGCACAATAGCAGGCAGAGGGTTGTGGTGGTGGTGATCTCTGTCTGGGGGAAGCAAGAGAGGTCTCTATTCCCTAGTGGACCACAGTCCTGGTCTGCAAGGACACAGCTGAACAAGCCTGATGAAAAAACACTGTTTAAAAGGTTTTTGTAGGCTAGTTAAGACAACTGTGGTCTCTGGGCCACTGGGTTTTGGAGATGGGTTGTGCAGGATGGAGGGCAGCAACGGGGATCTGAGCATGTACAGAGGGGAATGGAGGGGTATGAGTGTGCACAGAGGGGAATGCAGAAATCTTGACCCTGTGTGCACAGAGAGGGAATGGAAAGGATCTGGGTGTGCATGGAGGGAAAAGGGGGGAATTGAGAGTCCACGGAGGGACTGGAAGGGCTCTGATGGTGGAATCCATAGGAACTGAGCACCCACAGAAAGGATGGGGGTGTGCATGGAGGGAAAAGGGGGGAATTGAGTCCACGGAGGGACTGGAAGGGATCTAATGGTGGAATCCATAGGAACTGAGCACTCACAGAAAGGATGGATGGGATCTGACTGTAGATGGAAGGCAACAGTGGGACTCTGAGGGATGTGAGCGCACAGAGGGAAGTCAGCACTAAGCAGACACTGAAAGGAACAGTGGAGATCTGAGTATGCGAGGATGGGAACAGAGGAGATCTGGGTGCAAAGAGAGGGAAACAGAGGACACCTGAGAAGGTGTACAAGACAGGAATGGCAGGAATGTGAAAGCAGCTGGATAGGAATGGAAAGCAGCTAACTGCTTGAAAATTAAAGAATGAGTCTGAGGGGATCTAGAAGTATCCAGAAGGGAACAGAGAGAATTTGAAAGCATGTAGAGGGGGGGACTGGGGAATGCACAAAGGGGAGTGGAGGAGATCTGAGCATTGGATGGATGGAATCTGCAGGGTTCCAAGGCCCAAGCAGGGGAGGAGAAAGGATCTACAAGCACTCAAAAGGGAATGGGGGGTAGCTGAGGGTCCACAGTGGGCAACAGAGAGAGCCTGAGCACACACAGAGAAGAATGAAAAGGATCACAGTAGCATATGGGGGAATAGAGAGTACGTGGAGGGGAGTAGAGGGGATCTGAATGCACACAGAATTGAATGAATGGTTTTGATGTGCCCTCTGATGCTCCCCAGGGTCTTTTATTTGACTTCTGGTGCAATGCAGACGCTTCAGTTTGGTCCTCTCATCCCCTAAGAATTGCATCATTTACATTTTGGTGCACCAGTTGCCCTCCTGTAACACTTCAGACTATTCTATTTGCATTCTGGTGCCACCTAGAGCCTCCCATTTTCTTTGCAGTGCATCCCAATGTCCTACATTTGTTTTCCTTTTCATGCCAGAGCCCTCTGTATGCCTTCAGGTGCTCGCCAAGCCCTCCACTGCTTTCTCATGCACGCTGTTTCCCTTTGCAAATCCTGTCATGCCAGAGGCCCCAGCAGGGTCCTGGGCAGCAGGGATCTCTGTTTGCAGGATGCTTGGTAGAAAGTCAGGATAAAACTCTGTTCTGGAGATTGTGACAGTCCATTGCTTTGCTGGGGCCACAGACTCAGAATGTCTGCAGAGATAGGGAAGGTCTGAGGTCAAGCCTGGAGGTCAAGACAGCAGGTTCCATCAGTGGCAGAACTGGAGGAATGAGACTGGGTGCAGGCATAGCTGCTGCACAGCTGCTGTGTAGCCAGTGGTAAAGGTGCAGCTTAAAAGCAGCTCTCCAGGGAAAGGAGGAGAAGACCCTCACATCTACCTTTTTTCACAACAGCTCTTTTCAGTGAAGGAGCTGACTTTGGACGTGGCCAGCTAAACTCCTTAACTTGGTGAACTGTACTCTGAGAAGGGGGAGAGCACTCAAGGGTGCTGGCATTGGCTTGCCCTCACAAGCGGGAACATGGGACTCTCTGGAACAACCCATGCAGAGCCTTGTGGTAGGAGAAGCAACTCTGGATGCCTCCTGGGGCCAGCTCCTGCCTCGGGATCTGGGTCTTCCCTTCCCACAGGGAAGCACAAAGATCCCAAGTGCCCATTAACCAAAGGCTTGTGCTTTCATAGCTAGGGCCAAAGGACAGTCTCCTCTCCCATCTGCTGCAGTGACAGTGAAGTGGGTTGGGTAACTGATCGTCAGTTTCTTGCCTGCCAGGCTCTCCATATCCTTTTTCGCAGACCTGCCTTACAGCTGGGTGGCCCTGAGATGGACTCCTGGAGTACACCACTGGTGACGTATCCAGCTGGACTTTGTGCCACTGATCAGGACTTTCTGGGCCTGTTCATTCATCTGGTTTTCACCTCCCTATTCACTTATCTAACCCATATGTGCCAGTTTGTCTGTTAGGATGCTTTGTGAAACAGTGCCAAAAGCTTGCTAAAATGGAGGTAAACAATATCCACTGCTCTCCCCTCATCCACCCTCATTGTAGAAGGCTATCTGGTTACTTAAATATGATTTTTTCCCTCTGTAAATCCATGCTGGCTACTGCAGAGCACCTTCTTGTCATTCATGTGGCTGGAAATGGTTTCCAGGACTTCATCACCTTCAAAGGGATCAAGGTGAGCTGACCAGCCTATGGTTTCCTGGGTCCTCCTTCTCACTCTTGAAGACAGGAGTGACATTTACTTTCTTCCAGTCTTCAGTCACCTCCCAGTTGCCAGAATCAATCCTAGATTCTTGAAAGTGGCCTTGCAATGATATTGCCAGCTCCCTCAGCACTTGCAGGTGCATCTCATCAGGGCCCATGGACTTCTGTATGTCCAGTTTGCTTAAGTATTCCCTAATCTGATCCTCTTCCACCAAGAGTATGTCTTGCTTCAGACTTTCCCCCTGATCTCTGGGGCCTGGGATTCCTGAAGGCTGGTCTTCCCAGTAAAGACAGAAGTGAAGAAGTCATTGAGTACCTTGGCCTTTTCCATGTCCTGTGTCACCAGGGTCCCTGAATGGGGATTCAGCAGCAGAGCCACCTTTTCCCTAGTATTCCTTTTGTTTATGTCCTTGTAGAAATCTTTCTTGCTGCCCTTCCCTTCTCTTGCCAGATTAAACTCCAGGCCAGCCTTGGCTTTCCCAATCCCATCCCTGAAGTACGGGACAGCATCTCTTTATACCACCACCCATCATACCCTGCTTCCACTTCTTGAACACTTCCTTCATATGTCTGAGTTTACCCCTTGGTCATCACACAAGCCTTGTGCTACTTTTGCTTGATTTCCTGCTTGTTTGCAGGAAATATAGAAGAAAAAACCTAATGTAAACATGCCTGATAAAAACCTGCAGTGGGCCATCAGGGCTCATTCCCCTGGGTCAGTCAGTCCCTTTGTACAGTGTCAGGAACTGGATTTTGTGCTTGGTAGCTCATGGCTTCTGTCCTAGAGCTCCAGCAAGGCTGTCTGAGCTGCTGTTCTACAGCTGTGCCACCGCCCTCCTTCCCCCCCCGCCCCACCATAGCGTGCAATAAGGAGTCAGGGTCCTGGAGGACAGGGTCACTGCACTCCAGGTAGCAAATGACCAACCATATAGCAAGCCCTCCACTGTGGGACTGCAGCAAACCAGCTCCCTTTCTGCCCTCGACTGCTCCATGCCCTGCTGAGCCCCTCCAGCACTTGCTGTGGCCTGGGGCAGAGACAAGGAAAGAACCTGAGAGGTCTGAGGGGAAAGGAGAGCCCATGCCCAGTGGCTGCATGTTTCTGTCACCCTTCTTTGCTAGTTTTGTACGCTCCTGTCATCAGCACTCAGGGTAGGAAGAGCTTCATCCCCTTCCCTTTGCTTCACCCATCCAACTGCCTGAGGGAAACGTGGGACTGAAAAGACTGTGATTACCACTGCCCCCACCCCACCCAGTCCACTTGTTAGCAGCAGAAGAAATAGGCAGGGATCACAAAACCAGAGTGTGTTCCTAATGGGAAGTATTATTATTCCTTGGATGAGAAACACGAGCTTAGCCTCCAGGATGAGCACACGGTGGCTCTGTTGTGTTACCAGAGGACTGCAAGAGGAGAAGGTGGTGGCTCGGGGTCAGGACTGGCCTCTGTGGCATGGGGAAGCAACAAGCTGGGGCTTCATCACAGAGGTTGCAGCTCAGGCTCCTCAACCATAACCAGCACTGACAGTATCGCAGATTTAAATACAGCTGGAATGTCAGCCCAGGTGATGGAATCGTTTTACCAATTGCTTGGGACGGAATGCACCAATGGGATATGGGCCTATGCTGCATGTACTGCATTTGCAGGGTATTTTTTCATTTTTTTCTGTTAATTTTTTTTTTCTAACAGAAGTCTAGGTAAAGGCAATGTAGAGCATTGGAGATACTGTGATCACAGTCTTAAGGGTGGTGTTTTTTAAAAAAATCTCTTCTTTAAGGAATTGTATGACATTCTTCTGCTGTTTGTCTGTTTTGTTACAGACATGATGTCTACAAAAAAATCTGTAGCAGCATTTTATCAAAATGACCAAATTTAAGTCAGCTGGGTTATACAGTGGTATAAGTCTGTGATAAAATGCTTTCAGGCAAACAATCAGAGGAGAAAATAACTTGGCATCTGTAGTGGCCATGACATAGTAAGTGTTATTATAGATGAGTATGTTTGATACATTGGTATCAAGAGAAGGCTTTCCTGCAGGTGGCAGTCTGACCTTCCCTTCGTGCTAGCTGTTGAAATGCAGGGTCAGGAGCGTCAGAACTCTATTTTGGACTGTTTATGCACTGCCCAGTACCCAGTTTTTCTGTATGCAAGCCCAAGGCACCCAGATATCTCCAGCATAATCCAGATATTTAAAACTCTGTGGTCCTGTTTTGAGACTGTTCTTATTTGCACATGCCACTCCCAATGCAAGAAAAGCAATTGCAGAAATGTTGGTCCTTAGGGATACATCCATGTGTCAAGCTCCCCTAGGGTGAATCCAGGCATCTGGATTTCCCTGGGAGATCCTGTTGTCCAGGTCTGTGCGATGTCTGTGGGTCACTGAGGTCTGGGAGGCTCCGCCACTGCCAGGTGGCCCTCGGAAGCAGAAGGAGGAAGGGAGAAAGAGGAGGAAGGAGGAGACTTTATATCCCAGTGTTGGGGTGGGAATCATGAGGTGTCTGGGGGGCCCAAGGGGCAACTGGAGGGTCCTGGGAAAAACTGATGGGTCTGAGAGTGAAAGCATGGAAACCTGGGGGCAACTGGGTGAACTGGCTGTAACTGGGGCCCCCAAAGGGACAGTGAGGGTTCCGGGGAATGTGGGGGAAAGTGGGCATGGTCTCAGGGGCAATGAGGGAATGTAAGGGAAGCAAGGCAGCCTGGAGTGGTCCTGGGTGGAAGGGAGGCATCCTGGAATGGGCCAGAGAACACTGGAAGTTCCAGGAGGAAATAGGGGACCCTATGAGGAGTTTAGGAGTCCTGGCAGCCTATGGCCCACCTTGGGCACGCGGGTTCCCTAGCATTTGTAGGGCAACCTGAGGAACTGAGGGTCCAGGGGAGTTTGGGAAGCCCACGCTGGTCTGCAAGGAGCCCCAGAAGCATGGGGATTTTGAGGGTAAGGTTTACCACGTCAGGAGGACTTACACCAGCAGCAGCACGAGCGCCATGGAGCCAAGTGCCACCTCCAGACCCAGCAATGCCACGTGGTGAAGGGGAGTCCTGTCACGGGGCCAGCGCAGCACAGCTCTGAACTGAGCCTGGAGTATCTGCTCTGCTTCCACACTTCCCCTGGATACTGTGGGGACCCAGTTACCTTGGGTCATGGGGCACTGCCCCCCAAGGACCAGGTGTCCCTGCAGCACCTGCTCCAGCCACAGACCTCACTGCCCCCAGGGACCCAGGTTCTGGGAGTCCCTGCTCCATCCACCCTACATGCCTCACTGCCACCAGAAGAGTAAGGCATCAGGGAACACCTGCTGTCCACCATGACCAAGGTGCCCTGGCACTCTGCTCACATCCCATGCACCTCCCTGCCATGGACCCAGGTGTCTGGGGTCCTGCTCCACCCCACGCTGCTCACTGTGCCCAGTGCACTCAAGTTTCTGGGCGCACCATTGAGGTAGAAGTACTTGCGGGCTAAGGGCTCAGAAGGGACCCCCAGGCGACAGGCGATGGTTCCCGGAGTGGGGTCCTGGAGGGTCAGACTGAGGGGTCCCTCCACACTCCCCTGCAGCTCCTCAAACAGTGCCAGATCCTGTGTGTGCAGCTGGAGCATGAAGGAACACATCAGCATAGCCTGGTCCACCAGCTGCACGAAACATTATACATGTGCATGCAAAGGCTCCCCTGTCCTGCACAAGTTCATCATGTTCCCTTCATGCTTCTTGGACCCTTTGTTTATGCATGTGCACGCACCTCATGTCCCACACTTGCTCCTTGTGCCCTGTGTGTGCGCACACAGGCAGAGCACAGGCAAAAGTCACTTACTTCCTTCACACACGTGCACACAAGTGCATGTGAATCTGCAAACACGAGTGACCAGCCTCCTGCTTGCATGCACCCTTCCCATGGGTGAGCACTTGCTCACGTCCTGTGCTGGCATATGCTCTTTACAGCACATGTATCTACTGTCTAAGCAATACCTGTATCTATTGATAGTCCTCATGCCAAGCTCACACACCAGTGTGTGTGCAGCCCTTGCTACCCATGCCCAGTGATTGGATGCATAAACCCTTGCACATGCGTGTGCAACTTACATCCTTGGCAAACATCCAGGTAACGGGAAGGTCAGGGGGGGTCACAAAGGGCACATTGCAGTGCAGTGTGATGGCTTCATCTGCGCTGGTCCACACATCCTGCACTGGGAGCATTGACAAGCATGTGAGTTCACATCTGCTCACTCACTTCCAGGAAAGCTTGTGCTCCCGTGCGACTGCACATGCTCTTGTGCTCGCAGTGGGGATGGGTGGGTATGCACTTTGTCACACTCTTGTGCGCTCATGGAGGGCCCAGCAGGCATACCCGCATGTGAGAAATGAGGGTTGCCCCCAGAGCCCTGGAGTTACCCAGCTCTGGGGTGGGGCTTAGCCCATCCAGGATGCCTGGGTCTACCATGGCCCCATACCTGGGCAGTCCAGGGGAAACTGGCAGTCCACGAGGCGGCAGGTAGCACACTGGAAGACGCGGGCAGCTGGCTGGTACCCTGGGAGGGAGAGACTTGTTGGTCCCAGGGGGATGGGAGATGTATCAGGGACAGGGGGCGGCAAGACAGAGGGATGGGCACTCACCACAGGGCGGGACACAGGCTGGAGCTGGTGGGGAGGAAGCAGCATTAGACTGAGGATCAGTGGGGAGCCACATCCCTGTGATTAGCTGTCAAGGCTCAGCCCTTTTTCAGCCCACGTGGGGTCCTGGGGGTTTCTCCAGGATAGGGGTGCCCAAGTGGGGTCCCTGGGGTGTATATGCCCAGTGTGGGGGTCTCTGTGTCAGTCCCTTGCTTGGGGATCTCAGGGCTTCCCCAGGGCAGGAGTATTGGGTAGGTGTCCTCACTGGCCCCATACCTTCCTCCAGCTGGCTCAGCTTCATCCAGATGACATTGACGGCTTCCTGCAGAGACACCTCCAAAGGCTCTGGGGTGTCCCAGATGTCCAGATGAGAAAATGTGCCTACCCCCTAATCCCCATAAACTCTCCCCATTTCCCACAGAATCCCTGTACGACTCACCTTGACCCCATGTATCCATCCTAGAGTCCCATATATCCTCAAATACTCCCTCAAAAAAACCCCTGGAAGCTGTATACCCTGAAGCCCATATAGCCTCAAGATTCCCCGAATATCCCCTTACAGCCCCCAGACCTCCATATATCCTATATTACCCCACACCCCCTCACTGAAGGCCTCCACATCCTGTTCCCCTCTGCCCCATGTCATGGCCCTACCCACTCACATGTCCCATGTCCCCTGCTCACTTTTATCCTTCTGCTTCTCCAGAAAATGCAGGGCATCCATGATGATCTCCTCAAGTGCCTCATACTGCCCCGACCCTGGAACCAGTATAGGGGCACTGGGACCAGTACAGGGTTGGGGCTGCAGGTTCAGGGATGGGAGGGTCCAGTAAGGGCTGAGGGTTTCTGGGGGTTCCTGAAATCCTGATTGGGGTTTAGGGATACTGGGAAGGGTCAGGTGTCCCTGGGGATTCCTGAGGTCTTAGGCAGGGCCGAGGGAGCCCAAGGAGTCCCCAGTGTGTTTCTGGTCAGGGTTGCATGATTCTCAGGGTCCTAGGCAGGGCTGGAGTTCCCAGAGGTCCCTGGGGTCCAAATCCAAGTCAGGACTGGGGAGACTTTGGCATGGCTGGGAGTCCCTAGGGAGCTTGTCTGGGGTGGGTGCCTGGGATCCTGGCCAGTATCAGTGTGAGGGCCTTGGTTGAAGTGGAGGATCCCAGAGGGCTTTGTGTTCCTGTTCAGGGTGGCAATCTGTCTTGGGATGGAGGTCCCTGGTGGGATGGAGGTGCCAGTCAGGATGGGGGTCCTTGGGCAGGGTTCCTGTTGGGTTAGATGTCCCTAGGGGTCCCATGACACACCCACGGAGACAGAAGCGAGTTGCACAGCAGCCTGGACAAGGGCATCAAGGCAGTGTTGATGTCGGGGGTCCGTGGGGGGGGCCCCAGTAATGTCACGGCAGAGCCGTGCCTTCTGAATGGAAGGCCCAAAGCAAAGCAGGCAGGAGTGCACCCCAGGGAGCCAGGATGCCAGGGCCACCCACTGCCACAAGCCATGTCTCCCTGCTTGGACGCCTGGGTTTCCAGGGAGCCAAGGGGCCAGCACCAGCATCAGGGGTGCCCACCACCACCCCATGGTCCTAAAGTATAACCTGGGTCCCCAGGGAACAATAGGGTTCCTAGGTGGAGCCCAGGAGCCTGGTTCCCCAGGGAACAGAAGGTTCCTAGGCAGGTCCCAGATGCCTAGGTCCCCTCAGAT